GCGGGTGCCTAACGCGCGGCCACGCATCGCCTTCGCAGGGAGCGCGCGGCCCGTGAGTGAGCCGACCCCGGCTGCTGCCGCTGATGCTGGTGTGGAATGCAGCTCTGGCGAGAGTCGCGGACCATTCTCCTGCCTACGGCCGAGCTATAGCCTGCCTAGTGCCTGCCCACGGGAGAGGTGGCCATAGGGAAGGCTGTGTGCGAGAGAGAGAGAGCGAGTGAGGAGAGTTGCATAGCATAACTCCGTGACCCTCGCCTGCCAATGCCTCTCTCTCTCTCTCTCTCTCTCTCTCTCTCTCTCTCTCCCTTGCACCAGCAGATAATCCTACAGGAATCCGTCCGTCTCATCTCCCCCGTATACACAATCCCTGATGTGTGGGTTCGAACACCGCCACCGCCGCCGCCGCGCTCACCACCGCCAGGGCACGGACGGCCTCCGCGCGCGCGAGATTGGAGCAGAGCAAGGGGATCACGGAGCCTCGCAATCGGACTTGCGGCCTCACATGGCCTTACGCTCTCCATTCGGCCGGCGCGGTGGCCTGGCCGCCCCACGATGACGTGAGAAGACACAACATCATACCTATGGACTATGGAGGCCGTCGTTCCGAATGTAACTGGTCACCGGGACCCTGGCCTGTGCCCTGTATGCCTTTCATCGCCACGCCCAGAGTTTTTGCAGCGTCCGCGTGCGGACTTTCAAAAGCCTGAAACTTGTCAGGGAAGAGGAAATGCTGCCAAATGATGTCTGAATATAGCCAAATATTTTGTTTACAATTTATATTTTTCTATTCCGTTTGTAAGGGTCCTTGAACGACAACCAATGAAAATTCTGCGGCCCTCGCTGAAAAAATATTTCAATTTGTAGTTAAATATCACTGTACTTCATGTGTGGTCCATTGCAATAAAGAACTCATTTGGCAAAGTACTTTCAGTCTTTATTTTCAAACCTGCACTTTTGCTCCAATATGTGGTAATTAAACTTCAACCGCCACTGCCCGCCGGCGCTACCCTTTCAATGATTGATAATGGGCGGCATGGAGTGGTGGCGGGGCGGGGTGGGG